ACTGAGGCTTGCCTTGTTTCCCAACATATGGTCTATCTCTGAGAATGTTCCAAGTGCACTTGAGAATAATGTGTATTCTACTCTCTTTGGTTGCAGTGCTCTATATATATCTATTAAGTGTATCTGGTCTAGTTTTTCATTTAATTCCACTATTTCCTTGTTGACTTTCTGTCTGGATGTTCTATCCACTGATGTATGTGGGGTGTTGAGGCCCCCTACTATTTTTGTGTTGCTATTAATGTCTCCTTTTAGGTCAATTAATAGTTGCTCTATGTACTTTGGGGTTCCTGTGTGAGGTGCATATACTTTTATAAGTGTTATAGCCACTTCATAAATGGAGGGTCCCTTTTATCATTATATATTGCCTCTCTTTGTCTCTCATTGCCTTTTTTATCTTGAAGTCTGCTTTGTCTAAGTATGGCAAAACCTGCTTTCTTTTGTTTGCCATTAGTTTGGAGTATTGTCTTCCACCCCTTCACTCTGAGCCTGTTTGTCTTTAAAGCTGAGATGCGTTTGCTGGAGGTAGCATATTTCTGGATCTTGTTTTTTAATCCACCCAGCCACTCTGTGTCTTTTGATTGGAGAATTCAATCCATTTACATTTAAATGATTATTTATATATGAAGGCTTAATAGTGCCACTGTGTCACTTCTTTTCTGGTTGTTCTGGATTTCTCTTGTTTCTCATCCCATGTATTTCTGACTGCCAATTCAATTTGGTGTTTCTCTGTGACGGTTTTCTCAGTTTATTCTTTCTTTATCATTTGTGTCTCTGTTCTGATTTTTTGTTTAGTGGTTACTATGAGGTTTTTATGGAAAATCTCATAGACAAGATAGTCCCTTTTCTGATCCACTCATATTTCCTTAGTCTAAGCAGGTTTCATCCCTTTCCTCTTCCCTAAGTTATTATCACAATTTATTCCATCTTGTGTTGTGAGTTTGTGATTAAAATGAAGTGATTATAGTTACTTTTGATGCTTTCCTTCCCTTATCTTTAATGTTAAAATTAGGCGTTTGCTAACCTGTTCTGATAGAGAGCTGCAATTTTCTGAATTTGTCTATTTATCTCCTTGCTCAAGGCTTTGTAAATTCTTTTATTTTTCAGGTATGAGGGCCTTCTTAAGCCTTTCTTATGGGAGTTGTCTTTTGGTGATGAACTCCCTTAGCTTTTGTTTATTTGGGAAAGTTGTTATTTCTCCATTGTATCTGAGGAATAGTTTCACTGGATAGAGTATTCTTGGCTGAAAGCTCTTGTCTTTAAGAATTTTGAATATATCATTCCACTCTCTCTAAGCCTGTAAGCTTTCTCTTGAGAAATCTGCTGAAAGCCTAATAGGGGTTCCTTTCTAGGTTATTTTCTTCTGCCTTGCTGCCCTTAATATTTTTTCTTTGTCATTGACTTTTGCCAGTTTTACTGATATATACCTTGGAGAAGGATTTTTTACATTTATGTAATTAGGAGTTCTATTAGCTTAATTTACATGTAGTTCCACCTCCTTCCACAAGTTTGGGAAATTCTCAGCTATTCTTTCTTTGAACAAGCTCTCTGCTCCCTTCTCCCTCTCTTCTTCCCCTGGAATACCTGTAATCCTCATGTTTCATTTCCTAATTGAGTCGGATATTTCTTGGACAATTTCTTTATTTCTTTTTAGTCTTAGTCTCTCTCCTCCTCCATCTGCAGCATTTCTATATTTTTGTCTTCTAAATTACTAATTCTGTCCTCCATAATATCAGTTCTGGTTTGTAAGGATTCCAGGTTTTTCTTTATGTCATTCATTGTGTTCTTCATCTCCAACATTTCTGATTTTTTTTAATAGTTTCAGTCATTTTTGTGATTGTGATTCTGTTCATTAATTTTATTCCTGAGTTCACTGAACAGTCTTTCTGAGTTTTCTTGTAATTTGCTGAGTTTCTTTATGATAACTATTTGAATTCTCTGCCATTTAGGTTACAAATTTCTGTGACTTCAGGATTGATTTCTGGGTACTTGTTTTTTCCTTCTTGTCTGGAGTGTTAATATACCTCTTCATGCTATTTGATGGGTTGGACTTATGTCATTGCATAGTGGTAGTATCTAGTCACAGATTCCACCTGCCACCACCATGGGGAGCAGGAGCTGTGTTTTCTGAGCTGGCTGCAATCCCTTGCAGTTGTGCCTGTCCATTAGAAGCTGTGCAGGCAGGGCCCATCTGCATTTGCCTGTTGGCCACTGATGCTTTACACATGTAGTCACAGACACTTTGGTGGGGATTCCCTGCTTTGGCTGACTGGCCAAGCTGGTGTGCCAGGCGGGAGCAGGAGAGGGGTGTTTTCTTTAGTGCACACAATCCTGCATGCTCCAGCTCTGTACTCACTGTCTTCCCACCTGGGCTGCTCAACTTGGTGAGGGTGCCACCATGGTTGCTTAGCTGCCTGGGTGTGGAGTGTTCCCATGGGTTTGGAGGCAATTCTGAGAGTGAGAATGTTCCCATGGAAGGCTACTTTGTCCCCCTTCTCCTCTCAGAGTTGCACGCTGCTACTATGTGAGGTCCCACACCCTAGATTGCTGCTGCTCAGGAGGGAGAGGAGATCTGCTTACCTCCACCACTGCTTCCTGAGGGGTCCAGCATCCCCACCTTCAGACATATGGCTGCATGGATCTTTCAGATGTCTATTGTGCTGTGTGGAATCTTTTGTTGGTTTATGAATGTCATTTTCATCGTAACTTAGTGGGGAGAGACTAAGGGAAGAGTTCACTCCACCATGGTGCTGATGTCACTCTGGAAGTTCCAAGATTCTTAATTTGAGATTCTAAATTTTGAAATTAAAACTTTATCTTCAGGTAAAATATTTTCATCTGGTATCTTATGCATTTTCTCAGCTAGAGGAAGAGAGGCTTTTAATCCACCAAAGCCTAAAACTGCTTTATTGTGAAGCCTCTGAATTATTTAAATATACCAAGAAACATCCAAAGTTTCCTCTCATTTTTATAACAAACAAATAACCACAATTTTTTAAATGATCAAAAAAGAAGGCTGGTGAATTTTCAAAATGAACTATGAAGTTAAGTGTAGAAATCATGAGCGTTTTTACTGAAAGTATGTGGAGGCACTCTGTTACTTCATATATACACTTAGAAAGTTGAAAGTGGACTTCATTTTCCTAAGGTATTCACATTTTTAATGGCTTTTAAATTTTAAACATATGATTGATTTAAAAATTGGAATAATAATCATAATTCCAACATAAATTAAAAAAATAGAAAGATGGATTAGATGGGAAAAACAGAAAGTATCTCAAAATATTTAAATCCAAATATATTAATTATTATAATAATTATAAATACATTACATGTTCTAGGAACAGATAAAGACAATCACACTGGATTTATAAATAATCTAACTATAAACTATAAGATACATCACTAAATTTTAATACAAAAAGGTAGAAATTAAATAAATGAAAAAAGATATGTCATGAAAATACTAATCAAAATAAATCTGTTACAGTTTTGTCAATGTCAGACAAAATAGGATATAAGTCAGAGGACCTTACCAGAAATTAAGATGGTCTCTAATAAAAAATAATAAGTTGAGTTCACCAGAAAATATGTAATTTTTAAAATTTGTGTGCATCTAATAACATAGGCAGTACAAGAACAAGAGGACAGAACTACAAGAAAAGATAAATTCAAAATCAAAATAGGAGAATCCAATATGCATCTGACAGTAAAGGGCAGAATGAACAAAAAACTCAAGGAAATCAAGAAGTAAGAAATTTAAATAATAGAATTTTTGAAAATTTGACAGTGGATGCATGTAAGGTTGTATCAGGACACGTATCTATGAGCCAAATTATGCTTAATTTAATTAAAAATTAACATAATTAAAATAATTTAATAGTTTTCATAATTATCATATTTACTACTGAGTCTATTCTTTCCAGCAGCTCCTAGTGTTAAGCAAAACATTTTTATATAATACTTCATCCATGCTCTGAGTTAGAAGAAGAAAGACTTTTAAATGCACTAAATAGAGAAGCAGATCTGTAGTTTAAGTACTAGATTTGCAATATATGGTAATTAACCAACAATATTTCATCTCATTTCTTAATGATATAAGCAAATCATACTTTGTGGTAATAAACAATTAAAAGAGACTGTCTATTGAAGTATAAATATATGTGACTACATTTTCACTTGTGCACATAGAATCAGTCTTGTTACTTTTTAGATAGAGATATCAATAAATTAAAATTAATAATAATTTAATATTGGTTAATGTTAATTAAAATATTCTCTAGCTTTCTTACCATATTCATAGTTTAGAATAAAGTTAAAATTTGGGGTATAAATATGTCTAAGAAAAAATGTGTAATAATATTAAAATATAGAGCAGAAAAGAGAGTAAAAGAAGCTGATCAGGCAGGAAAAACAGGAAGAACAAGAAAATGGTGTTACTTAAACCTCAAAATAACAAAATTGGGTGAAATGTGAATTATCAGTGCTAATTAAAAGACAAAGATATCAGACTGAACTTGGAAAATACACAACTGTGAGCTTCATACAAGAGATACAGAAAAAAATCATAAAGATATAGGAAAGCTAAAGCAGCAAGATAGAAAAAACATCTATCATGCAAATACCAATCTGAAAATGGGTGGAGCTACAGTAACAGCAGGTGGTTAAGGCAAATGAACAAACAAAACTATAAAAATGATAAAGTAGTTTCCTTCATTAGGACTGTCCTCTAAGAAAATTATTAATTTTAAATTTATATGTATGTTAATAATAAAGTGTCATACGACATAAAGCAAAACCTGACATAAGATATAGAGAAATCCATAATCATAGTGGGAAATTTAGCACATCTAACTCAGGAATTATAGAATGCACAGATAAATCACCAATAAAGATCTAAAAGTCTGAACACAATAATTGTAGACATATTCATGAACTATGGAACAAAGCTCTCTTAAATTTTAATTTAAAACAATTTTTGAGGTTTTTAATTAATTACTTACTATCAGAACTTTCATTTCCGGTAGCTTCAAAATTCTTAGCTTGAAATTGGCTTCTTAAAACTAAAGCTATGTCTTCAGGTAATTGATCTTCAACAGCTATACTATCCTTTTCCTGTATTATAAGAAATGCTAAATAGAAAAACAGATCGATTATAAAACTTCTGGGTATGCCAAGTAATCTGAAAAATTTTTTCTAATTTGTGTAAAATTAGAGAAAGAGAACTGTAAAGTTACAGCAGTGAAAATATTTATTTAAATAGATCATGTAATTGAAGTGGGAAATTTGTGTGAATAGTTTTCATGAGTGCTTGTGGAAGCAATCTTGTTACATGGTAGTCACAGACCATGCAAATACCAAACAAAAAGTATCAAAGCTTTCACTTTAGTTCTCTAGTTATCTTAGGGTATTTACACTCACATCAAAGGGTAAAATTCCTACAAAATGTATGCTCAAACACATATTCATAAACCAAACAAAAAAGATCTTTCGATGAGCTTAACTTAAAATAACTTAAAAGATATCTATAATTATTATACTTACCATTGCGTCTCTTCATTCTAGCAGCTGCTTTCAACATTTGCATGTCGGTATTTGACACTGCTTCATTCTCAAGAATAAGATTTTCAGTTGATTCTCCATCATGAGCTACATGAAAAGATGCATTTAGTCTACTAAACAGAAAAACAGATCTATTGTGAAATTTCTAGATTTCAAATTTAGAACAAGTGTACAGTACCACTTTCTCGCACTTTTATAAAGTTATAAGTAAATTATCATAATTCTAGATCTGACATGAAAATTGTGAGAAAAGTTTTAATGGGTTTGTATTTTAAGCTGTTTCATTATTTCTAGAACATAACATTAAGTGGAAAAAAATGAAAAAGAGGATATCTATTATGCCAGCCTTTGGGTAAGAAGAAAGCAAAATAAGAAAAAAAGTAGAAAGACACTTACCTTTACAAAATGATACACAAGAAAGATAAATCAGAAAACAGTATACTTAGTTATCTTCAAGGGGCTGGCAGGAGACTGTGGAGTGCAAAGAGAAGCAATACAGAGGGAATGGTACTTCTCTAAGTACACCTTTTGCATATTTATACTTCGAGAAGTAGGGTAATGTTGTGCATATTCAAAAAAATCACATTAAATCAACAGGATAAGAAAAGAGAAGTAAAAGTGAAAATAAATGAACAAACAAATGAACCTTCTAAAAGGAAAAACAAAGCACTAATCCAAGTAACCTAAGAATACAAATCTAACATATATCTTCATTCTTAGTCAAGAGACTAAGGTGCAAACAAAATCCTGAACTCTTTTTAGTACGTTTTAACCCTAGTGCTATGTGCTAAGCAATTATGAAACACATTTAAAAGCATTATAGGATATATCAAGTGAGTAAACGTGTTGATGTTCTTCAGAGTCAAGTTTATACTGTGGAAGAAAGGACATACACATACAAAACAAAGGGAGGAAAGAACAAGACCTGAGGGGATGGACTGAAATTAAAGTTGCCCATGAGAACTCATGATTTCTAAGTATGTCTATTTATGTGTATGAAGGTATATATGAGTATGAATACATATCACAACCAAGTAAAAGTTAAACGACCTACTCCTAAATGACCAATGGTTCAAATAAGAAATCACAGGGAAATAGAAAATACTATGAGACGAAGGAAAACAAAATCACACCATACCAAAATTTATGGGATATAGCTAAAGTGATGCTTAGAGGAGAATTTATAGCTACAAACACCTATTTTATTTTTGAGGAAGATCAGCCCTGAACTAACATCTGCCACCAATCCTCATCCATTTGCTGAGGAAAACTGGCCCTGAGCTAACATCTGTGCCTATCTTTCTCTATTTTTGTGGGATGACTGCTACAGCATGACCCGACAAGCAGTGCATAGGTCCGCACCCAGGATTCAAAACAGTGAACCCCTGGCCGCCAAAGTGGAATGTGTGCACTTAATTGCTGTGCCACCAGGCGACCCATACAGACATCTATTTTGAAAAAGAAGAGAGGCCACAGTCAATTAACAAAGTAAACCCAAAGAAAGCAGAAGGAAGCAAATAATAAAGACTAGAGCAAAAATAAGTAAAATAGAGTAGGGAAAAACAACAGAGAAAATCAACAACCCCAGAAATACTTGGTTGGTTTAATAAGGACTGAACCATATTAACATAATAAAAGACAAAATGTAATGGAGTTTCTAGCTAGGGCAATTGGGCAAGAAAAATAAAAGATGTCAATATTAGAAAGAATGAAATACAACTATCTGTACTTGCAGGTTTTGTATACAGAAAATCCTAAGGAGTACACATACCCCAAGAAAGCCCAAACCTATTAGAATAAATGAATTCAGCAAAGTTTGAGGTTACAAAACTCAATTGTATTTCAATACATTAGCAATGAGCAATCAGAAAATAAAATTAAGAAAACAATTCTATTTACAACAGCATCAAAGGCAATAGAATACTTAAGAATGAATTTAACAAAATAAGTGTAAGACTTGTATGCTTAAAACTAAGAAACATCATTGAAAATAATTAAACAAGATATAATAAATGGTAGGACATGCCCTGGTTATGGATTGTTAGACTTAATATTGTTAGGATCACAATACACTTCGAATGATCTACAGATTTAATTTAATTCCTATAAAAATCCTAGGTGGCTATTTTGCAGAAATTGATAAGGTGATACTAAAATTCATATAGAAATTTAAGAGACCTAGAATACCCACAACAATCTTGAATGTAAAAAAAAAGTCAGAGAACTCCTACCTCCTGATATAAAAACTTACTACAATAATCAAGATAATGTGATACTGGGAATAATCACAGGTATAGAGATCAATGAAATAGAAACAAGAGTTCAAAAATAAACTCTTATGATCAATTGATTTTCTAAAAGGACATTAAAAAAAATCAGTAGGGAGAAAATAATTGTCTTTTCAACAAATGTGCTGTGAACAACTGAATAGCCACGTGCAAAAGAATGAAGTTGGACCTCAGTGTCACACTATATACAACTCAAAGGGGATTGTGGACATAAATATGAGTTAAAATTATAGAAGTCTTAGAATAAAATATAGGAGTAAATTTTTATGACCTTAGCTTAGGCAATAGTTTCTTGAATATGGCACCAAAAGTACAAGTGACAAGCGAAAATGCAGATAAATTGGACTTCATCAAACTAAAAAGTTTTGTGACTCAAAGGAGAAAGTAAGCTAGAGTCTTCATCACTCACATGTCTGCCCCAGCTAAGGCTGTTGATCAGAGGATCTTATATGTGGGCTCCCTGGGGCTTGAGCTTCTCAAGACTGAGCATTCCAAATGAGCCAGGCAGAAGCCATGGAGCATCACTTACACCGTATTCTATTCAGGGAAATGGTTACAAGCTAGTCAAACTCAACAGGAGGGTACAGAGACTACACTTCTTGACTGGAAGTTTCAAAGAATTTGGGGCTATATTTTTATACTGTCAAGGTATATAAATTACAAAAGTTTAATTTAAAGTAATTTTGGATCAACATTGAATATTATACAATTCAGATTTAAACATAATCCGTGATAATATTCATTACACGTGCAATGACAAAAGTTACATTTTCCTTATTAAAAGTAAAGTCCTCTATTTATTTTACATCAATTATATAGGAAGAAGCACAATTTATGAACAAAATTTTCAAGATGTATGTTATTTTTTGTTTTGATTCAAATATATATTACTGTAAATTGAAATTTAACAATATGAAGTTGCATAAAAAAGCTAAATTCTGCTTTATGTGCTGATATTTTGAAGTCTTTTAAGTTGACATAAAAACAAACACCAGGTTATTTTCAACATTTATTTTTCATTTGTAAACAATGAGATAAGAGAGTACATTTTATATTGCTATTTGCAAGCATTTCTCTTTAACATTCAAAATTTATAATAGTGTTATTCTCATTAAGTGTAAAGCTCAACTGGATATAAATATCATTGCTTTTCCATTCAAACATTGATATTTATGTGCTAAGTAAATTTACAACACGCAAATCAGCAGAATTATCATTTTATGCTCCACATAGCTTATTTAATAACAGTATTTCTAATTCTTCTTGCATTTAACTGAAAGATACACTAAGCATATAAATACAATTATATACAACTGAGAATAAAAGCCATTTGAAACTGAATAATAGAGAAGTGACATCAGCAAGATGGTGGACCAGGAGGTCCCAGTCCTTGTGTCCCACAAAAACAATGATTTAACAAGTATCCATGGACAAAACAGCACTGGGAGTACTCTGGAATACAAATAAGAAGTTGCAGCAACCCAGTGGATGACAAATACCAAGGATGGCCACATAAAAAAGTGTAGGAAGCATTTTACCTTCATCATTCCATTCCCAGGCTGGCATAGCTTAGTGTCAAGAGGAAGGTCCTCAGCTGTTACTTCTCCCCATTGGGGAATAAAGAACAGGAGAACCCCAGAAGAATGGACCACTGAGGACCGCAGCAGCACTTGCTACTACCATGGACCCCCCACAGCCTTCACTGATGTAGACCCAAGGTGATGGAGCTGCATGGAGCTCAAGCTGCTGAGCTTCCCTATAGCCTGTGCACCCCTCCAGACCAAACATCACTGTGCAGTACCCAGGCCAGCACCACTATAAGTCGCCCTAGACCAAGTGTTGCCACATGCTTCTAGACCCAAAAGCCCTGCACACCCTAAATCTTCATTACACAATCTGGCATCAGACTCTGTGCTGCCATGCACCCCATCCAGCCAGCACCTTCATGCTCACCCACAGATGAAGTTGTTTCCCTTTAAAGTCAGGAAAAGGTGACTGCTCTTTCAAATGTGCAGACATCAATGCAAGGCCACAAGGAACATGGAAAATCAGAAAAACATGGTACTACCAAAGCACACAACAAATTTCTAGGAACTGATCTCAAAGAATGGAGATCCATGAATTGTCTGACAAAGAATTCAAAATAGTTATTTTAAAGAAGCTCAGCACAAGCTACAAGAGAACACAGATAGACAGCTGAACAAAAACAGGAAAATAATATATGAACAAAACAAGAAGTTCAGCAAAGAGGTAGAAACCATTAAAAAAAAAAACCAAATTCTCAACTTGAAGAATACAATGAATGAAATGAAAAATTCAATAGAGAGTTTCAACAACAGACCTGATCAATCCAAAGAAAATCAGCTAATTCAAAGATAAGTCATTTGAAACTATGCAGCAAGAAGATAAAAAATTAAAAAGAATGGGGGCTGGCCCCGTGGCCGAGTGGTTAAGTTTGCGCGCTCCGCTGCAGGTGGCCCAGTGTTTCGTTGGTTCGAATCCTGGGCACAGACATGGCACTGCTCATCAAACCACGCTGAGGCAGCGTCCCACATGCCACGACTAGAAGGACCCACAACGAAGAATATACAACTATGTACCTGGGGGCTTTGGGGAGAAAAAGGAAAAAACAATTTTAAAATCTTTAAAAAAAATTAAAACGAATGAAAAATAGTGAAGAAAGCCTATGAGATTTAGGGGATATCATCAAGTGCAACAATATATGCATTATGATATTCCACAAGGAGAGAGAGAGAAAAAGACAGAAAGCTTATTCAAAGAAATAATATCCAAATCTGA